ATAATTAAATAATAAATAATTAAATTAATTAAATTAAATTATTAAAAATGTTAAATATAATAAAAGTGATTAATTATTAATAAAATAATTATGTTATAGAATATCTAAATTATAACATCAAATATAAGATAAATTGAATAATAGTATTTGTATTCGAATTTGATCATTGGGTATTAAAATATTACATTCTAAAAGAACTATTTCATTTTTTGATAATTATTTTTTATTCAAAATTGATCATTAAAAAATAAAATGATCTCTTTAGAATGTAATATCTTGATATCTAATAATCAAATTTGAATACAAATACTATCATTCAATTTATCTCAATTAACTGAGTCAAATGGTAGTATTTTCACTCAAATTTGATCACTAAATATCAAGATATTATATTCTAAAGTAACTATTTAATTATATTTAGAGTGTAAAAATTTATAAATATAAAACATCACTGATATAGAAATTATATCAACTTTAAAAGATATAAATGAATAACATTTGTATTATTCTTTGTTTTCAGAAATTTTTAGAATGATATGTATAATTTATAAAAAGTTAGGAACATTTAGATACTTATAACTGTTACTATATATGGTGCTGGAAATCTAAATTCAAAAATAGAATATCTTTAAAGTTTATTAAAGCTTTATAAAAATAGTAAAATTATTTTTAAAACAATTTTTTATTACATGAAAATTATTTTATTGATTAATTTTTATTGATTTGATTGATTATTATATAATTAATATTTTATTGGTCAATTATTATATAATTAATATTTTAATTATATTATATTGCAAAATGATATTTATACAAAATGACAAAAGCAAGTTTATTAAAAATTATTATCTACTTTTTTGAATTTTTTTGTGAAATTTTTTGTAATATTTATTATATAATATATTTAATCTAATTATAATATGATCAAGTTATTTTTATTTTAATAATAATTGTACAGGTACTAATATATATTATTTAATATTACTTTGATAAAGATATTTACTCTTTATCTTCAGATAAGATATTATAACTAATCAAAAATACTTAATTATATATCACCTAAAATTCAGCTCTACTCTCATTTCAAAAATATTAGATAATATATATTAATATTCTTATTTAAATTGAATCTATTATATATTTTAATCAAACCTCTCAAAATCTTTTAATAGTTGTTAAAATTTTACTAAAATTATAATAAATTATTAATAAATAGAATATTAACTTTGTTGAATTTTGAAATTTATTATAATTGAAATTTTACTAAAATTTTAATTTAAAAAATTTTTTTATTATATTTATATATAGTGACTAACCAAATTATGAAAATATGCATACAAATTTATTAATAAAATATAATAAAAATTAAAATTTTTGTCTTATATAAAAGTTTTCAATTTTATTAATAAATATTTTTTATTTTTATACCAAAATAAAGATTATAAATTATAGTTTAATATATATATTTTCTGAATTTTCTAAATTTTTTTCTGACAAAGTTGTTCTAATTGCAAAAATTTTTTATAATTATAATAGTTTTATCTTAGATAAAATAATATTATTAACTTATTAATCAATTTTTTAATTTTAATTAAATTTAATTATTATTAATACATATTAAAAGTATATAATTAATTTAACTAAATTAATTTATTGATCTTTTTTTTAATTAAAATTGATTATATAGTTCTGGCACATGCTAGAAAAGATCAAAATTAACTTAGTTAAAATTAATTATATAATTTTAATATGTAATAAACTTTGATTTTTTTGAATATTATTAATATATACAAGATTCTAATTTTAATTTTTATAATAATAAATAATATATTAATCAATTTTATAATATTTATAATCAATGTTAATTAAAGTTGATTCTGATTTTGATTATTACTAGTATATGCAAGACTCTAAAAAAAATAATTATTAATATATAAAATTTTGAAAAAGTATATATAACTTTGTTTTTTTATATTAGTACAAAATCCAAAAAAATCGAATTTGAGAACAAGAAATAAAGATGTTAATGATGTGAGATTTTGCCAATGTATATCAAATAATTCTTTGCATCTTTTTTTTTGTATTTCATATCATAACAAAGATTAGGTAAAGAGAAATAATTTTTTTTAAAGCAATAACAGAAGGACCAAGATCTTTTATTTAGGAATAAAGTAAATCTTGTCCAAAGAATAACCATCTCCTTGTTTCAAGCCAAAAGCCAACAAATAATCCTGTTGAAATTATTTGAAGTTGGTGCTTAAAATTATTCTGGTAACAACTATATATCGATATTAATTGAAAATCTTTATACAGTCAGGCTCAAATTTCAAGATGCTAAATCGAGAAATATTAATCGAGTGCGATTTCAATCTAACTCGCAATTTCATTAAATCGCATAGTCGTTAAATCGAGCCCTGACTGTAACGGTAATCTTATAAATTGCTCTCTTGTGGTTTCAATCTCATTTTTATTAGATCGCGAATTATTCTTATCGCGATTTGTAGAATCAGTGGTGAAACCATAAGAGGCGCAAATTAACATTCACTTGGATATTAAATTTATTATACACCGAATAAAACAAGAATCTAATCCAAGTTTTCACATGTTTCTTCTTTTATTCTTAACGGATTTAATCTTTCTTCTCCTAAAATTTGTACTATGAAAATTAACTTCATCGCTAGATTTATCTTTTATTCGACTTGGTGAAAGTTTGTTATTCCGTAGTTCGATACCATGCTTTTTTGCTTTATAATCCATTAATATACTTTTATCGTACCATGATGAAACACCATCCCTGTTGTCAATAGTATTGACTATACGACTATATTTAGGTTGTTTCCTTTTTCCGCTTGGTGGAGAAGAAGCACGACGGAACCACTCATCATCCGAAGAATAGATCATATCGTCGTCATATTGTTCATAATCGTCATCATCATCACCATAATCTAAATAGTTTTTCCATTCTTTTCGTTTCTTTGACTTTTTAGACACCTCGTCCCTTTCACCAAACTTACGTGCAAACCCATATTTGAATAAATACGCCTGAACTGCATTGGTTCTTGCATCTTGATATTTTTGATCAATAGAAATGATAGTGCCCAGTAATGTTATTCCTTTTTTGGCATCGTATTGTACAACCTCCGGACTATCATTGTTCTCATATAGGACGTGATCCATATGGTTGACTGTTTCCTGTAGAGTTTCGTAAGCAGAAGCAAATGCTTGGCGTATGTTTATCCATTTGCTGGTGGCGGTTGCGACATTTACGTTGTCCGGATCAGAAGGATCTGGGATTACGAGAAATTTTGAGCTATCTTTATTCTTTGCTGGTTTTAGTTCATAAGATCCCTCTTTACTGACATTTATCGAATACTTTTTATAGTTAAATTCTACCCCATATAACTTGAAGAATTCAATCAGCATCATACCAAGATTATCCTTCACCACGAAATTAGGGTTCTTTACTAATGGATGTTTCTTCAATGAAAAATTTCAATGAATTAAATAAATTCGTTCTGCGATGACGTTACCATATAACCAAAATTTACCTGCAACAAAGAAATGACCAGCAACAAAGCCGTATAACTTCCCATCCCACCTTGCGAAGGATCATTCAATGAAAGCGACGCCAAAAAATATTTCACCGCCAATAACAATTCTCTTGATCCGGGATACCGTTGAATGAGAGTTTTTGTCACATTCGCGGAATTTAAGCTACTCGCTTGATTAAACGAAATATCAACATGATATCCCGAAGACTTTTCTACAAATTTCACAATCGGAACTCGAGCAAATGGTAGCTTAAGGATGCTAGACTCTATCGCTAAACTACGGATCACTTCGCCAATTTGATACACAAGCCTTTTTCTGTTTTTTATCTCACAAAATAACACCAAATCAATATCACTTGATGGTAAATAGAGATCTGTGTTATAGCTTCCGTAAGCTCTTGCCACTGAACCTAAATCGAATTCATTACGTAGTAGCTGATTGATGCGTAATATTACTGATTGACGCATTTCGCGTTCTTCTGGTAACGGAGAAATATAAGTAACGAAATCTGTCACTTCTTGATTTAAAATATCAATTGCATTACAAAAGTCATGGGGATCATAATTGTCTGTCCATGGCGTATTATGAGATGCTTCAAAACTATTTCTTTTTCTCTTTTTCTTAGATGCATTCGATCTCAAGGGTTCTATATCATCTTTACTTTCTTCCTCTTCCTCTTGCTCTTGTTGTTGTCGTTGTCGTTGTTGTTGTAACACTAAATTACTAATTTCTTGGTCCTTTTCCCCCGTACTTATAATACTTTGTGTAAACGGCGTACCCAACGGAAAGTTCAAAGTATACTCAATATTATTATTATTATTATTATTATCAGATAATGTATTAAATGTTCGCGCTTTATACTTTGAAACCATTAATAACCAATAGGGAAATACGCCCCCTCTATTAAAGTTCATCTTTACTGTTGTTGTTGCTGCTGTTCTCGTGTTATTATTCAAAGTCACTAATAACTCACGGGTGAAATTACAAAGATGCAGACTACCCTTTCGACAAGACTGAAAAGCATTCTGTAATAACCACGACATATTATTGATATAAATACAGTTTTATATTGTTATTGTTTTGAGTATGCTTAGATTCTTTCCTCTTTTTTCCGCAAATCTTTTGTTGAAAGATCAATATACAAAAAAGGTTCAAAGACTTTGCTTTTTTAAAAGTAGTGTTTGAGCTAAAAAAAAATATTTTTGACTAGTCTAAACAGTCACATGTTTTTGACATGACCTAACTAAATGTATCGCCATAATGCAATATTTGGGTACGCTTGACGAATCTAAAAAGATTAGTGAACGTGAATGTAAGAACATCAACTCATCTCAGACTCGAATAAAGAAAAACAAGAAATAAAAATTACATACCCTCTCAAACAATGAAGGTTTGGTTCTATGTAACGCGCCAGGATCCTCAGCTAACGCGACAAAAGTAGTCGCAACACCGCTATGAATCACAGAGCTGAGCACATTCATCATCTGGAATCCCATAATGAATGCGAGAAATACAATCAGCGGGGTGAATGTGCCGCCTCGGTTAAAGTCTGGCTGAATTATTATGGTGAATAGGTAACCGAGTAATGCGGTTATCATCCCGATTAAGATCGAACCTGTCGAGTTTCGAGGAGGGATTAATTTTGGTTTTTTTAATGGTGAGAACGAGGTGCTTATGAAAGTATATACTCACCCATTACTAGAACGTTTCCTACCAAGATATCGTTGGCAACGAGTTCTAGACCACGTTCTCTTATCAATGTCCAAGTGTCCTAGATAAATTGAATTTTAGTTTCTTTTTATTACACGAAAAAAAATGTCTTGTATTTATTTCCTTATTTACCCTTGCAGCGTGCAAATATGATTTTCCAAAAATTGCCACTTGTGTATACGCGTAAAAGTTAAAGAATTGCTAAATACAAATTAAAGACCAGAAAGATTAAATCTCATGATTTTAAGGTAAACCAAGTAATAAATAAACCTACCAGCAATTCGTCAAAACATTCAATAATAAACATTGCACACACCGCGCAAAACTGCGCAAGCGGATTATCAGCTTCCTGCGCGGCTGTCCTCAACAGAGCACGAATAGTTTGAAGCAAGGCGACCAGCAAACTTCCTAAACACACGCTTCCAAAACTCGTCGTTGTTGCTCGTTTCAAGCTTTCGAAGGTGGGCGAGCGTGGCATTCCTTGGGGAGTGCCTTCAAGAAAGTAGTACGCGGCAAAGACACCAGACAGTGTCACGTGTACTAATACTTGAATTACCTGTGATGTCCAGTAGAATGAGAATAAGAGAAAGACGATAACGCCGTTTAATTTGCTCGTGTCGCATTGTGGGTGCCGTGTATTTTGTTTGCATGCTGGTGGGTACCAGTATTGGTATGCGGCTATATATTTTTCGTGTTTCAGATTAGAAGAGATTAGGACCAAATGATTGTAAAAAAATAACGCGCGTTATTTAATTACCTGTAATCGTAAATATCCTGAAAATCAAAGTAAAAGGCTTCAAAAAATGAAAGTTTCAATTATCAAACTTCATAAAAAATATAAGCAACACTTGCCACCACACTTGATACAAAAACTGAAGCACAAGTCCACCAAACGCTACAAGTATAATAGATTTATACTTCTTAGTGATGCTAACTACAGTTTCAAGTAATGCAGCCGATAAGGGAATTAATGTTCTCCTATAAAAACACAATTAAAAAATCATTAAATTTCAAAATAATAGTAAATTGAAATAATTATATTTTATTCCATTTACCAAGTAAAATATAGAAATGTGTAAAAAGCAGAAAACAACAGAAACAAAATCGCAGGACCGAAATATCCGACTACAAAATAATAAGCAGTGATTCCCCAATAAAATCCAATCGAGATGATAAATGTTGCTGTTATAAATTGTCTTGGAAATCTATCGAGAATACAATAAGAAAAGTTAATAACCATAAGTTATCGATTGAAAGGTAACATATGAATTATAAATCATACTTTTCTGCCATAAAAAGATAGACCAAACTAAAAAAGAATCCGACTCCAGCGCTAAATAACAACAGCCAAATTACACTCCAGTCCAACGTGACTCTTTGTACAGGTTTTCTATCCGGACTGCGTTGTAATTTTCCAAAGTTTGCTAATGCGATTACAGAAATCACAATGTACGCTGCGAAATGAAGTAAAAATAGTATTGCCGCCCCTTGAATTCAAATTTCGAAAATGGAATTTAATAATTATCCGGCAATCTGTAATTTTATAATAATATTACGACATTTCATTACATAAATCTTGATATTTTGGTCTTGGGAAATATTTTGAATCATTTCCTCCAACAGTAGTTGGTACCGATTGTGGAGGCGGTGGTGCAGGTGGAGGTGTATAAGCAGAAAAAACTGGCGTTGGCATTGGCATCATTGAACTTGCTTGTTGGTGCCCTTGTGATTCTGAAAAACCGGGAGAATATCCTCCAGGTTTAAATTCTTGGGTGTATGATGGCGGAGGCTGTGGAGGAAAAAATCCATAAGTTGGAGGTGGATGATATGTATGTTGCTGTTGTTGCTTTGTAGTAGACATTTTTTTATTCGAGCAAAAAAATCGAAATCAAAAGCTTTTAATATTACATGGATCAATCAAAAAAACATCGTATAGTATGATATATCTTTTTCCTAGCCTGAATAGTATGTCATTTTTACGTCATATTTTCGATTTTTATCTAACACTAATACGTATCTCAAAATTGACATTATTTAAAAATCGTTCCCTTTTTGATGATTAACAAAATTTTAACTCGTTTAGTAAAAAAAAAGTTCGAACCAAAAACTTCAAAAAAAACATTGAATCTATACAAATGACAATTTTATTCCCCAAGAACTTTGTAGGAGAAAGGCTATCCAATAGCTTACTATCCTACCGAGTTAAAGTAAACTTTTTGCAAAAATGACAAAATATCAAATTACCAAGTGTGGCACGAAATTATGTAAATCTCTATCGAGCACTTTTTACAGAACGAATAAATTGCGATTTTGATTGGCATATTCATATCGTACATTTTAACATTTGATTTTGAATATTTCTTATATCGAGCGCTCCTCATATCGAGAATGAATTGTATTAAATTTCGTCTCGATAAATCACAGTTAGTTCAGGAACAGTTACAGCAAACCTGCCCCGATAGACCGAATTTGGTTTGACGCAGTGTTGTCACTTGGCCGTTTGGCCGCGGCCAAATGACCAAAATCTATAGGACGCACCCAAACGGCCAAAATCTGGCTGCGGCCAAATGCCAACGCTGGTTTAACGGGGGTTGACTGTGTATAACTGTTCCTGGAATAACAAGGGCTGACTTTGTGACAATTAATGACCGTATTTCTATTATAAATTACCAAATTTTCCGAATTAATAATAATCAATCTATGTAAGGTTGCGTAAATTTTTAATCAGCCCGGCAAAACAAATCCGAAGCGTGAACGAAAAAATGAAAAAATACGAAAACGGATAAATCTATTTTGGGGCACTATTAAAAAATGTTGGGAAGACAATTTTACATATAACTTTGTCCTCCACTCTCAACCTTTAATTGTAATATCCACGTGGTCACGTGTGTACAACGCTTTAACGCATCGCTAAATTTAGTTTATAAAAATGTAAAATTTTTCGCGAAACTTGCACGTATTACATCGTCACATTAATTATTTGATTTATTCAGGAAAAATAAACTCTTTATAATGAAATCTTAGTCTTTAGATTAATAGTTTCAACAACTTAATTCTAACCTTGGCTGAAATTAAATATCACTTTCTAGTTAGATCAACGCTTGAAAACATTCTTTAGTTTGGAATCGTAAATTGATGCAGAGTCATAATTGATAATAACAATGGGGGAACTTAATTCATTGTTTTCAAACTACTACAATATTATCTATAGAACGATAATGCAATATTAGAGTGGGATGACGACTGCATTGATCAAGCATCCGTATATGCATTTGACACTAATTCTTCCTTCCTACCCGTTACGATAGGACAACACACAGTTCTTCTATGGTTGGTGTTTATTTTTAAGTCTTTGAGATCAATAAGTGATGGTGGCCTTTGGGATGAATAACTATATCGTGGCTTGTGTGACCCTCGCAGATAATATTCGATGAATAAATTGTGATGGGAATTATTAAACTGCTTTGCTATCATAAAAAAAAACAACTTACAGGTAATTTATCTTAAATTTTTATACTAATTATCAACAGTTGTAACAAAGTATCAACGGAAGTAAACAAGCAATAAGTAATCATCGCGACTATTGTAGAAACGAATCGGGTACAACATGGGGATTTTTTTTAGTTTTTGTGAAGTACACAGCCAACAAACAATCGGTTCACAATTATATCATTAGATGCACGAATTTTTGACTACTCCTCTTTTTTTTTTGCCTATTCATTTTACGTCGCTACAATTGTGAATATTTAATAGCGGTTTTTGGATAACATCGGAAAATTATCAAGAGGAAATAATTATAATCATCTTTTTTGGCGGTTGATTTTGGCTAATTATGATTAGTATCGGAGAAAAAGACTTGAATTTTACAGTGTACACGTATTCATCAGGGTTCTTTCCTGTGTAATTAATCATGTATAGAATAAAAAATGTGCAGTTACGAAAGAACAATATCTACAATGGGATTATATATATAGCACACATATACACGCAGAAAAACATTACACACACGTACGTGTTAAACATGCGCACGAAAGTATTCAGTTTCATTGAATGAAAAATCGTGCAAAGTATGATTTTTAATTTATTCAAAATTGAATAATGATCGTCTAAAATGACAAAACAATAGCATTTTTTTATTCCATTTGACCAAATTTCGGCTGGTTGGCTTATGCGTATGCATATTTGCCTTCATTAACGCTGGTGCTCTTGCGTGTTTGCTCCCACTTTGCCTTTTTATTTTTAATCCTTTCCCTTTCCAGTTGCAATCAAGTATTTGTTACGTTTCGTCTTGATGTGAAAAGTGAGCAAATCTAATCTTATCAAAAGTTGGTCATCAAATTGTCAGATCTTTTTTCCGGATACTAACAATTCTGGCCGTGATTTTTTTCGTTAATATCTTTTACGCCAAGGTAAATCCCAGATGACATAATGATAATATTCGTTTTTTTCTTCGTGCTTTTTTCGCTTGCACAATGACGTCTCTCTCCTAGTAAAAACAATCGAAACAATAAAAACAAAAGCCCCCACAAGAAATAAAAACGCCTGATTTTGGCTAGACATGTTGCACGGGTTTATTTAAAAAAAGTGAGTGTATACTATCGATTTATATAGTTAGCGTTGGTTTATCGTATCTCTTGTATAATGGGATGCGAGATACCGCTACTACCTAACGATAATATTACATGAATAAGATGAATAAGCATCATCTAATCTTATCTCTACAGCAATATATTGGTCGCGTCGCAACACAAACCGTAAAATGAGATGATTGTTATCATACATGAATAATTTAAAATTTATCAAGATTAAAAAAAAAACAGAAATTAAGCTCCTGAACAAAATAAGAAATATAAATAAAAATCGAAAAAAAAGGTAAAAATAAATGTGGGGGTGGGGTTTGGTCGGGCAAAGAGGAAAAATGACAACCGTCAAATTTACCCAAGTACGACAAGTTGAATGGTGATGGCACAACAGAGAGAAAGGAAACCAAGTATAACAAAAAGTAAAACATTATATTTGCAAACGCAAAAAAGGAAAGCACGATTGAGAAAATTGTAAATCCTACACGCACCCAAAAATGCATCAATGAATCACACTTTCGATTAACAGATTTTATTTCCTCGTATTGCCCCGCACTTTTTTTCTTTTCCTTTTCCTTCGATTTCTCAAATCCGGTCGTGGTAACCAGACGAAAGAGTGGGATGAATGATCAATTGATCTACATATATAAACAATAGAACCGCGTAACAAGATTCAATCGGTCCAATTAGTTCGCTGGCTCATTCCGCGTTCTCATAAACTTGATTACTAATTTAATGAGATCCAATTTGAGAACAATCCCACGAGACGAGTCAATAATTAAACGATAAGATAACTTTGTGCACCTTATGTTTTTTTATGAATTTGGCGGAAGGTTGACCCTCAAGTCCGACTATATTATTCTTATTGTTATTATATATTTTCTTTTTAGAATGTCATTTGATGCAAATAATTAGTTCTTCGGAAAGTGCCAACAAAAATTAAAAAAAAATAATTGTAATAACGACGATAACAGTTTGTTTGTTTTTACTATTTACAATTTACTATCTACTACTTATTTATTCATTCATTCATTTTTTATTTGTTGTATATTATTTGTATATAAATACCATTATTATAATAAAATAAATATAAATTAACACAATTATTCACAATTATTCACAATTATGCGTGAGAAATATCCTTAAATATATTAAATAATAAAATTTTGAACTATGGCATGCAGCCTGCAGGCAAATGTAGAATAAACTTATATATACTATATATACTCTATATACTCGATACTATATATTAATTGCATAATTCCTTATTGTATAATATAATAATACATTACGTTGTGGAATAATAAATAAGAGATCTTTTTCTTTTCAAGTAAAGGACAATTCTTTTCAAATCAGTATATGTAATACGTTTCAAGCACCTTTTCTTTTCTCTACTATTATTTATTTTGTTTACTACTACAACCATCTCAACTATTATAACCAATAATCGCCTACTCTGGTCTTGTTGCTTTGGTTTATGTGTTGTTATATAATATTCACAAATAATAAAAAAACAACAACCAATTAACAGCTAACCCACCAACCAACCAACCAAGAACAACACGCGAATAATAAATTTATAAGTACCGAACTGCTTCAAACAACTCATCTTGAACCTCTTCCTACTCGAAAAAATTCTCCTTTTTCCACCTTCAACTCCTTCTAATTGTTAGTAGAGAAAAAGATCAAAATTAACACCTCTACATTCATTAATTGTTGATCTTCTCAATTTTATTCTTCTCTCCCATCAATAATAACGACTATAAAAGAAATATGTCAAAAGAAATAGAAATTACAAATCTATTCTCACAGCTGGATATTTCAGGTAATACACATTCAATTTTTCTAATTTATGCAAGTAATAGTACATGTATTATATAAATGCACGAGTATGTTTCACGTGTCGTGTCTGTGCTGCATTTATCCGTTCTGCTTTTATCCGCTGGTTCCGATTCTGTTATTTTTTTTCTTATCATTACTCGGCACAATTTTCCGCTCGCAAAAGCACCGCATTTTGTGTCTTGCCTTATCTTTGGGAATATCCCCCGGATTTTTCTTTTTTTAAGGCTTTTTTTATTCATTAATATAATTTTTGTTATTATTCTTTCATTCTGATTGGAACCTTACCCAGACACAAATAAACAAGTTTAACCTTTTTCGGAGTTGTATAATAAAAATAAGTGATCATTGTTTTTATTATCATTTTGTTATCTTTATTATTATTATTACATGTATCATTATTATTATTATTTATTTATTATTATTATTATTATTATTATAGTATTTATATTATCCATCTCCACACTCAATATAAAATGCATGAAAAATGAAATTTTTATCATTTGATTGTTTTTTAACAATCTCGAATACACTTTTTTTCACCAAAATTTTCACCAGATTCGATAATGCTTGTTGGGACAAGGAATAATGATTTGGCTCAATCTCCGACTCTTTCCAGCATTAAAGTTCTTGTTTTTTTCGGCAACGGATCAAACGCTGTGAAGGTAAATACAGCCAACATCTATGAATTGTTGTTGTAAAAGAACGAACAACTAACAATTAATCGAATTTATTTTTCAGTTCACTGATTCCGATTCTAACGGTCAGTCGAACCCGAATGTTAATGTAATTCTTGAAAATCTGCTGGAATGGTTTAAGCAAAAACTGCAGCGTTATTCCAGCGAAGCACCAGTTCCTATATGTCAGGAACCATCAAAGATAATTGCCCAAGAGATCATGAGCAAGATAAGAGGAGGTAAATATTATTCATTGAGATAATAGCTGCTGTATTCACGAACATATTTTGACTCGAAAAAATCTTTTTAGCACATCTAGATCTAGACGGTGTTTCTCGAATTCAGATCAACATATGTGCCGGTCATGTCTTTTTAATCCACAAGATAAATGACCGGATACAATATAATGGGCAAGAATTCTTTCAACAGGTAACATAACTACAATATGATTTGGGAATTTAATGCATTTATTTATCATTTTTTTATCTTCAATTCAGCTGCCACTCTTCCTGGAAATTTCGGTAGAAATTCAATCAATGCACCCGCTGGTACTTCGTCACACTCCTTGCCAAGTTATGGTGACTGTTGAAGTCTTACAAGACAATAATACAAATTCTACGGAGTGGTTAATCGAGGAAATGTCCACAAATTCGCTGGGTGCTGGAGGGTTATGGCGCAATGTCGGAACTGCAAATCATCCGACTCTCCAACCATAAAAAAATTAGATATTACTAATATATTAATATATTCTTAAAAGTATTTTCTTATCTTTTCTATAGACTTAAATATTTAAATTTATTAATTTTCATTTCCTTATTATTATGCCCCCTAATATTATTTTCGGTAAATAATCACCTTTTTCAAAGAGATTTACAGACAACTAGCGCAATCGCATTTTCGTGATAAAGAGGACGGGTAAAAAAGAGTTCAATGACTCCTTGGGTGGGGGAATCGCTTTCTTTTTTCTTTTCTTCTTTATTCTCTTTTTATTCTCTTTTTATTCTCTATTTATTCTCTACATTCTCTCTACATTCTTTATTCCCTCTTTATAACATATGCAAACACGAAACTTGAGAACTCTCTCAATATCTATGATATATTACTTCACTATGTATCTTATAGTTTAAGAGCCATCATTCAGTTTACTATAGTATTTTCGTATAGATGGGTGAGTGGGATTTACGAAAATATATTAAGAATAACTTACAAAAAAGTATATAGTGTACACATGGCAATTGTATAAGCATAATAAAGAATTATACACGAAAAAAAAATAAATAAACTTTTTTTTAACGTTAAGATAAAAATATATGCCTGTTTAAGAAGTTGTTAATTTACGTCTATTAATTTTCTTTTCCTTATTTGAATAATATTTGCTGCCTTTACGAGAAGGTTTGTATACTTTTACAAGAATAAATCAAATCATGCATTGAAGAAGTTCGAAACAGACGTGATGATCATTTGATTCTATCTTCGGAGCCATACACAGACAGTGTGTGAGGAGAGAGATGCTCGCATTCTTTTTCATACAGACGAAATAGACCGTATAATGATTGAAGCAATTCACACGGACACGTTATCAAACCAGTATTATTGACTTATGACGCGAAGTCACTCTTTGTTTTTGGGACGAATCGAGGTGAGATTTATTAGGAAATATCCGCACTGCATAACGTATGTCGCGTGCTTTATCAGTAAATAATAAGGTGCATTGGTGATCTACACGAATACGGTTGATGTAAGACCATGAGGTTTCTTTCATTCCATAATAAAAAATTAAATCGATTCCGAAGAATGAATCTTTGGATCTTTCGTTCATGAAATGCATGACTATGAAATCTTTTTAAGTTCATTATTTTCTCCTTTATCATAATTCATTTCGGAATTGAATCAGTTTAATTATAGAACAGCAATTTAAATGTTTTTTCATATATGCAAAGTCAACGTTTTTCATATTAAAACTGATATCCTTTGTCTCTTATCGACAATACGCACATTAAGATACAGATGAATTGTCTTGATATTTAATCACGCGAAAAATAAAATTTACAGTTTTCTATTTATCCTAGCAAATTTTCGTGGTTATAAAGATAGAATGAAACTACGAAAGAAAGAAAGCATTGAATGGGCGGACGCGTCTACCTGCCTTGTATTATACGCGTTGTTTCATAGTCGTTAATCACTGCCGCTTTCGATTGATCGACAATCGGACCATTCTACGTTTAATAATGTAGTCAACAATAGAGATGCTGATCATTGTGCGAAAGTTTTAAATGCACTCGAACAATTTAAAGTGACATGTGAATGAGATATGAAAAGATTTAATATTACACAAAACAAGTTGATAAGGAATGAAGTTACGTATACTTGATAAAATGACATGCATTTATTAAAATATGCATGTAGTAAAAAGATAAAGATAATTGATAGGGTACTAGTGCAGATTATCGGATATCAAAATGGTTATACTCGATCAAATCACATCTAATCCATTTGATCCGAAATGGTGGCTCTTCTTAGGAATTCAGTTAGTATACCATTGACGTTTGATGTAATATTATCATCATTGTTCGGCGAAAACAAACAAATACTCTCAAGGATTCAATTAAATGTATTATTGAGTAATGAGTTCGCATTATCTGATAATTGAGGCAAACGGGCGTTTCAAGTATAATGGTTTCGATTTCTCATCGTACGAATAACAAAAAATATATTACATTATTGGTGTTATATATAAATAAACATTTACAATTTATATGAATACACTTAATCATAGAGTATAGCCACGCTAAGTATGTCAAAGAAAGTCTTAACTGCAAAACAAAGATTTTGTGATCATAATAATAATAATATAAATGTCATCGATCAATACTATAGAGTCGATTTATATTTTAGATTCTTAAAATAATATATTATTGGTGTTATATATAAATAAACATTTCCAATTTATATGAATACATTTAATCATAGAGTATAACATAGCCACTCCACTCTAAGTATGTCAAAGCAATTCTTAACCGCAAAACAAAGATTTTGTGCTCATAATAATAAAAGTACCATAAATATAAAATGTCATCGATCAGTAATATTACTAGAGTCGATTTATATTTTAGATTCTTAAATTAAATAACATAACATAATGTCAAGATTATGAATTAGTAAGCACATAACAACAAAACAAAACCTAATAAATAATATTGAATTTTCCTTTTTTGATATAATTAATAATAATACATTCAAATCTTGGTATTATAGAAACCGTTTTTCCTTTTTTAACCATTTTCTATTAAAATAAAGGAAAGGAGGAGACATTATTCAACAAAGAACGGAGAATTTGACAATACACATATATGCTTACGATCTGTTTTTAAATAAACAAATCGTAATGTTTCTTCGATGATTTAATATAAATTACAAAATCGCTTTATCTGTTTGCGATAAAAATATTCACGTGATATAATAGAAACGTGAATTTATTTTAAGGGTGGATCGAGATTTTGATAGGCCAAAATGCTTATTTCTAACTAACAAGTGCCAATCACATAAAAGCGAAATTGCCTGCTCTCTCTACCCATTTGAAACCATTTTTATTTTAGAGATTCAACAAACAGAAAATATAATAAAAACTTAGTTTAGAATCCATAGCAAATCGATAATTATCACTGAAAGTGCTTCCAATAATGCGACTTGAACTTGTGCGGGCAAAGCCATGTGATTCAGTCACATTCCTTAACTACTCGAACATAATAAAGAGAAAAGATAATATATAAAAAATAATTCAACAAAATAATAGCTTTTTGATTGAGCTATGATTTGGTTAAATTTTTTTCTTTCTTGAGATATAAATTACAATTTTGGCGTTTTGCTAATATTATATTATAAAAATAAAGAGTTTTGATTGGTCAGATTAATTATTATATATAAGATCTGCAATTCAAAATTGGCATTATGGCGCAGTATTTGATATCATGCTTTTCCCACTGTCATTTATTTGATGAATGCTATTGGTCGTTCACATATACGTTGTTATAGATAACACGGAATATCTGTTGTTTCAAAAAGAACTGATAAGAAATGATCACTACCAAAAATATCTAATGTGCTTCACAAGATAACGATAGGGAAATGAAATCCGGTTATTTTCCAGTATTCGAATTGTTAAGTCATCTTTCTGTTTGTTATCTTGTGTGCTAAGCGTGTGAAAATGTTATGGGTATCTTCGAAATGATAAACACAATAGATAATGCAGTATCAAATTATTAAAAATTAGATAACTATTAGCTAATTATAAAGTACCGTATTTTATTGTTTATAATGCCCGGGTACTTAACATGAGTATTATAAATCATAAAATGCGGTATGTCAATATTAAGAATAATGAAGTAAAGATTACGGGGTAATATTTAGAACCTAATTTTGTCAATCTCATTCTAACGCGTCACAAGGAAATGTAGGGGTTGAAATTTTTTGGTGACCAGTTTTCAAAAATAGAAATAAATTTTATCAATAATGAAAAGTAAATAAGGTTTATTGTAATGCATTATAAATTATATTTTATTGTATAAACTTTTTATTTTTATATCAAAATAAAAATTACAATTTATATTTTAATGCTTAAAAAATATATATATTAAAATATAAAGCAAGTCTATTTGTTATTATAATAATAATTATCAGCTTGTAATTGATTAATCAAATTACAAGAACAAAATGTAACACTAAAATTCAAAACAAAAAAATTTGTATTTCAAATTTTATTTATAAAAACTATTTTTTATATTTTAATAAATATTATATAATTCTAATTCTAATTTTAATTTAATTCTAATTGAAATTTTATATAATTAATAACAAATATATTGTTACAAGTTTGTTTATTAATTAGTAAATTCAGTTTATAGTATTTTACTATAAATAAAATAATTAATTTAGAAATATTTTATAATTTTCTAAAAAAAATTTTAAAGTAATTTAATTAATTAATTTTAATATAATATTTTTAAAATTAATTTTTTAATTAATTTAAATAAATATATTTAAATATATATTTTTAAAATTTTTTTAAAATTAGTTTTTTAAAATTTTTAAATTATAATAAAGTTTTTAATTAATCAAATTTTTAATTTTTATTTATTATTTAAATTTTAAAATAATAATTTATATATATATATTTCTGTATTTCTATATTTGATAATTCTGATATTAATATAGCATCTTATTAATATAATTATTTAATTAATTAATAATTAATAATTTGTCTAATTAATTATTATAAAAAAAATGTAAAATTAATTCTATCACATGTATAGTAATTTTCTCTAAATGTATTATATTTTATTATTAATTTTTATAATAAAAAAATTCTATTATATTAGCTTGCAAACTTGAACTTGAATTAGAAAAGAAAATTAAACAAATAAATTAAATATTAAAAAAAGAAAAATATATCAATTTTCAGATATTTTCAAATATTTTGTATTTTTCTATTATTTTTAAAAATTATAAAATTTATATTACTATTATAATAATATTTTCTTTAAAATATAAAATATTTCTTTTATAATATTTGTTTTAAAAATTATTATTTTTTAAAAAATAAATATATTTGTAACAATTATTTGTAATAATTATATTTTAATTGATTAATTAAATTCTGAATTAAAGTTAAAGTTAAAATTCTGAATATGTGATTAATTAATATATAATAATTGTTATA